GACAGCACCCCAATTCCACTCCAAGGAGCGATCATAGGAGGCAAACCAAGTAATCCCAAGAACCCGAATCGAGGAGACCACCGGAAACCACGACCTATCCCACACCAGGCGGGAGGCCCACTCACCGATCCCCATCAACCCCGACTTCGCCCGATTAAGAACGGCCCCCGTAGCGGACTCAAACCGCAGGAGAACGTCCTGGACAGCTTCAACAGAACCCTCCGAAGCTACAAATAGAATGGTGTCGTCAGCATACCCGCAAACGGGTAGCCGGAGACCGGACGGCAGACAAGAAGGCACGATCAAGGAACACGCTTTCACCGCCCGAAAAAGAGGTTCCTGAAAAATCACATACAAAAGCATGGACATGGGACACCCCTGACGAACGGAACGGCAAATAGGAAAAAACGAGCTAAAAAACCCATTCACACAAACGCGACTGCGACTCTGGACATACAACAAACGGATCCACCCCACAAACACCACCGGAAACCCAAGCCTCTCCATAGCACTAAAAACAAACTCTAAAGACACCCGATCAAAGGCCTTGGACCAGTCCAAGCTGATCATAGCCGCCGAAAGCCGATACTCGGACGCATAGAGAAGCACGTCACGAAGTAAGGCATTGCAATGCATCAGGGCACGGCCAGGCACACCACAAAATTGCTCCATAGAGACCACCGACGCAACGACACCCCGACATCGACGCGCTAAAACCTTAGAAAGAATTTTATAATCAACATTTAAGAGCGTAATAGGCCTCCAATTGGAAAACAACTGCAAATCGCCCGGCTTCGGGAGTAGCCGCACGATCCCGTCACAGAAGGAATCAGGCAGAGCACCCAAACGCAAACACGCCTGCACCACTTCCAAAAGCACCCCCCCCAGCACATCCCAAAAGGTAAGGTAGAACTCAATGGGCAGGCCATCCGCACCCGGCACTCTCCCAGAACGAAACGACCGAACCACCTCCAGGAGCTCCACCGTGGAAACATCCTGCACCAACCGGGCACACTCCGAGCGCGACAAACCGGGAAAGCACCTGTCCAAAAAGGAACCCGCGAGCACACTATCACTATGCACCTCCCCATAGAGGGCCTCCAACTCCCGCCTTGCGGTAAGCAGAACACCCTCTGTGCTAGAAAGCACAGACCCATCAGGCCGCCGAAGGCCCTGGAGAAGAACGGAACCCCTAGCAGCCGTCTCCCTCCCTAAAAGAAAGGGAGAGAGCCTCTCCCCATCCACCCGCTCAGCTACACGAGCATGCACGCGAACACCGTCAGCCAACACCGCACGCAAATCACAAATACGCTCCTTACACTCAGCAATCTCACTAAAGCAGTCAACCCCAGCATTCAACTGCACATATAAAGAAGACAAACGCGCCTGAAGGAACCGCAGCAGACCAAACCTCCCGGCAGCCTCCCGCTTAGCAACAATCCCAAAAAACCTCCGACACTCCACCTTACACCACTCCCACCAAACGAACAAAGAGGAGAAATCAGCCTTCCGGGCAACGATGCCAACCCACCAGGCCCGAAACTGCGCACAAATACGTGGACAACGCAATAACCGACAATTGAGTTTCCACCACCCAGGCCCCACCCGCACCTGACTCCGGACACCAACCCGTACAACCACCATACAATGATCCGAGAAAGCCACCGGGACCGTGCGAAAATCAAAAACCGAACACTCCCCACCAGAAACATAGAACCTATCCAACCTAGAACTCGCCCCACGCGCAGCGAAGGTATACTCCAACGAGCCGCCACACAAAACAGCCGCATCGCGAAACCTGCACGCACGCAAAACCTCAATTAAAGCGGCCGAAACATTCCGAGGGTGAGCACTAGAGCAATCCCTCACACTCGTAACACAATTAAAATCCCCCCCAAAGATCAAATCCCGCGTATCATGCCGCAGGTATGGCAAAAGCCCCTCCCGAAAAAACAGCTCCCGGTCCTGACGATGCGCCACCCCAGAAGGGGCGTACACTGTCAAGAACGGAATCACAACCCCCAAATACTCAGCCCGAACAAACAAGACCCGCCCATCTTCATCCATTTCCGTGTGAAGCACGGAAATGGATGCCCTCCGCGAAAACAACATCAGCGTTCCCCCAAAGGACGTCCTCGGCGGGTTCAGCACAACATGATACTCAGCACACAACCCCTGCAACACAGACACATCCCGAACATTGTGCTCTTGGATCAGAGCCACATCCACCCGCTGCTCCCGAAGCACATCCACAAGGCCCAATTGGACCGCCAAAGCATTCAGACCACGAACATTCAAAGACGCACAAACAATAGCAGGCGCCATCGAACCTATTAATGACCCCCAGCCCCTCCAGGACCACCAGAGGGCACAGAGCCACCCACTGCAGAGGCGCCGTCAGCATCCTGAGGCTCAAACTGCCGCCGTTCCACCGTCGGGGAATCCACCATAATGCCTGGCCTCTGATCCCGCAGGAGGCGGACAGTGCCGGCATCACCCAGCGAAGCACGCCGAGACCCCGCTGCCACTGACCAGGTATCACCAACGTCCACCACCGACGAGGAATTCTTGCTGCCAACCGGCACTGCATCACTCCCGGAATCCATATCAGACACAGGAGAATTAGGAGGAGGAGGGGGGGCACCACCCAAGGCACAACTCCGCGAAGCCTCAATCCGTTTGCCAGGGGGCTCTCGACTGCGTGAGCGCGCCCCCGCAACGCGCTTCCGGCGAGGAGCATGGGAGGTCAACGCCCCCTCATGGCACGCACCCGCAGGGGGAGCAGTAGGCGGACTCGCAATGCATGCAACAGGAACGCCGGCACCAACGACGACGCTCCCATCACCCTCAGTGAAAGCATCGCCTACAACGGGAGGCACCGAGACGACACTCCCAACACCTCGCCCATTCACCAACGAAGCACCAGGAACAGGATGCACCTCCACATCCACCGGAAGGAGAAGACGGGAATCAGGAGCAGCCACGTCCTCCACCACAGCTGGCACAGAAGACACGATAGGCACAGACGAACCAGCAGGCACACCAGTCGCAGGTGCACCACCAGGCACAACAGTCGCAGGTGCACCACCAGGCACAGCAGTCGCAGGTGCACCACCAGGCACAGCAGTCGCAGGTGCACCACCAGGCACAGCAGTCGCAGGTGCACCACCAGGCACAGCAGTCGCAGGTGCACCACCAGGCACAACAGGCGCAGGTGCACCACCAGGTACAGCAGTCGCAGGTGCACCACCAGGCACAGCAGTCGCAAGTGCACCACCAGGCACAGCCGACGCAGGTGCACCACCAGGCACAGCAGACGCAGGTGCACCACCAGGCACAGCAGACGCAGGTGCACCACCAGGCACAGCAGTCGCAGGCGCACCACCAGGCACAGCAGTCGCAGGTGCACCACCAGGCACAGCAGTCGCAGGTGCACCACCAGGCACAACAGTCGCAGGTGCACCACCAGGCACACCAGTCGCCGGTGCACCACCAGGCACACCAGTCGCAGGTGCACCACCAGGCACAACAGTCGCAGGTGCACCACCAGGCACAACAGTCACAGGTGCCCCACCATTCACACCCCCACGCCGAGGACCAGCCAGGGATGCACCATCCTCACGGAGGGGGGGAAAATCCCCCACACTGAATACAGAAGCAGTCTCCAGTCGAGGAATCTCACACTGGGCAGCGTCATGGCCCTCCTCCCCACAGCGGAAGCACGTGCGGGCCTGCCCTGGATAGAAAACCCGGAGCGGAAGACCACAGCACATAACCTTGGAGGGGATGGGCTCCTTGAGGCGCATATGCAGCGTGCGAGTACCCAGCCGGAGGCCCCGCAGCCGCCCGGCACTAAACAAGTTGTACCGATGACGCAACACCATACCATACCTCGTAAACACAGAAGAAAGCTCCACCTCTGGAAACGTAACAGGTACCCCGTGCACGCTCACAAAAGTCAGTGGACCCCACGGATCAGAGACAGTCACAGACACAGCCGAATGAGGAAGGGGAGTCGTCCGCTCGTTCCAACACCCCACAAACCGCTCGTATCCAGGTGACGTGGCAAACGTCACCGCCACGCGAGTGGGAGAAAATTTCTCGAGACCAAGGAGATCTTTAACATCCACCTGAAGGACATCCAAAAGCGCAGCCGCCACCAGTTCCCAATCCACCGGTGCAGAGAACTCCAGCCGAGCAGTATTCACACGGCGGACGCGGCCACCACCAGCCGCCGCCATATTGCTGACCTCCGCCTCAGTCAGCTGGCGCCCCACAGCAACGAGCAACCACCACCAGTCAGCGACAAACAGCTACTGGCAGCCCATCCCCACGAGTTTGTACTGTTTTGATGAAGAAAACATTAGACGTTGTTAATTGTTAATAATAATAATATAATGAGCGTGGTGAGCATGGTGAGCGTGGTGAGCGTGGTGAGCGTGGTGAGCAGCCTGAGCGTGGTGAGCGTGGTGAGCGTGGTGAGCGTGGTGAGCGTGGTGAGCGTGGCGAGCGTGGCGAGCGTGGCGAGCGTGGTGAGCGTGGTGAGCGTGGCGAGCGTGGCGAGCGTGGCGAGCGTGGCGAGCGTGGTGAGCATGGTGACCGTGGTGAGCAGCCTGAGCGTGGTGAGCGTGGTGAGCGTGGTGAACGTGGTGAGCGTGGTGAGCGTGGTGAACGTGGCGAGCGTGGTGAATGTGGCGAGCATGGTGAGCATGGTGAGCGTGGTGAGCGTGGTGAGCGTGGTGAGCGTGGTGAGCATGGTGAGCGTGGTGAGCGTGGTGAGCATGGTGAGCATGGTGAGCGTGGTGAGCGTGGTGAGCATGGTGAGCATGGTGAGCATGCAGCCTGTCTTACCGGGAGTAAACTTCCGGTAATCTTCAAGAGTAATGATTACATGTTTAGTTATTTATTTTCTTTCTATTTTTGTATCTTTATTTTGAATTAACAAAATAACTTTGTTGTTTATGACTCAATATAAAGGATCAGTAAAGAACACAAAAGGGTATTAAATGAGTACTTCATTTTATTTACAAAGTATAGGGGAAACAAATGATATACAAATCCGCCCTAAGAATGTGTTTGAAGCCAAGATAAGACGCTATCCGAAGCTGTTAATATTGTCTTGAGGTTCCCTAAGGACCAACACACTGGTGTTCGCTGTAATGGTCTGAAGTACAGCTTATATTGACCATATGATGCTGTAATGGTCTGAGGTACAGGCAAGTACAGCTTATATTGACCATATGATGCTTATGACTATCAATAAGAGTTAAAATAGTGAGTAAACCGCCACAAAAGTTATAACAGCATAGACAGTTTTCGTAAACATTCAGGTTAATTACACTACACGTGAACGCAACGACATGATTCCTGTAACAATAACGTAATAATGATTCCTATAACGAGTACGTAACAACCAGAATCATATAACAACATGGTCAAGTTTAGGCTAAGACAAAGAAGAATTGAAACCTCTACATCTGAGTTGACACTAAAACTTAACCATTTGACACTGAGGAGATAGAACCTGTCCGCTGGCAGCCGCGTCCAACAGCCTGGTTGACCAGACCACGAACCAGAAGGCCTGGTTAGAGACCGGGCCGCGGAGACGTTGATCCTGGGAATCACCACCGTAAGATAGACCACTCCTCACTGTCTTAGTGTGACGTAGAAGAGGGGGACGTGGGGCCCCTCCCCACCCCGCCCCCTCTCATCCTGTTACCTTCGTATTACTGATCAGACTTATAACTTGAAAATGGGTTGAAGTCTTTAAAGTCAAAGCCTTTGAAGCCACCGAAGCCCTTGAAGCCACCGAAGCCATCGACGGTGGGCGTGGGGCCGGAGGTGGGCGCGGCTGGCGGGGTGGGGTAGGACGGGGCGGGCTTGTAGGTGGGTGTAGCTGGCGGGGTGGGGTAGGTGGGGGCGGGCTTGGGCGGGCCGTAGGAGGGGGTGGGACACTGGGTTACCTCCACCTTGCGGACCTCAGTAGTGGTGACCGTCACTGTATGCTGCTTCACCGTCGTCGTCGTCTGCGTCGCCACCTGGGTGGTGAAGACCGTCTGGTAGGTGGTGGACGGCACCTGCAATAGATCGGGTTAGTATAGGACAGTATGGGATAGGTTAGTATAGGAAATCATTCCCCCTCACAAAACGTGTCACCGGAGATTGGGACATATATTTGTCTGACAACAAGTGACAGGATGAACAACCCAGCGGGTTTTCTTCCTATTGGGGAGTGTTGTACATGCTGCTATGGCGGTGTGTCCACTCACAAGATGAGTGGCGCTGCCCAATACTGTCACTATGGCGGTGTGTCCACTCACAGGATGAGTGGCGCTGCCCAATACTGTCACTATGGCGGTGTGTCCACTCACAAGATGAGTGGCGCTGCCCAATACTGTCACTATGGCGGTGTGTCCACTCACAAGATGAGTGACGCTGCCCAATACTGTCACTATGGCGGTGTGTCCACTCACAAGATGAGAGGCGCTGCCCAATAAACTCGCCTCTCGGGGCAAAATTTAAATTTAAATTTTGTCTGACATCTTCCTGGATGAAGGGGCAGCTGACTGCATGTAACTCAATTAGAATCAAAGTACTTTACTTCACAGACGTGACTAATCAGAACTCATAGACGGGATAACAACAAATGTTTGTAGTATTGTCTAGGGTGAAAATAGCCTCATTTATGAGTAGGAAGACGAGGGTGCAGTGAGGTGCTTGCAGGGTTGCAGGTCAATATGATGAGCAGTGATTAAGACTTTCACTATGGGTGCAGGAATGACTTCATTAGAGGCGTGACCGTCCCAGGCACAACCAACCCTTCACCAAACCGGAAGTAGTTCCTCACCTTCTGTGTCTCAGTGACAACGCTCACAATGGTCTTGGTGACGTGCTGCGTCTCCGTCTGGGTGTGCGTCTTGGTGACGTACTGCGTGAGCGTCTGCACCACCTCCCTCACCACCGTGGTGTAGGTCGTGTGCACCTTGGTGTTGAGCACCGTCGTCGTGCTCAACACGGTAACGGTCGGGGCGTAGCAGGGGGCCGGGGGCGGCCCGTAAGAGGGCGTGGATGGCACATACTGAGCGTCACACACGCCCACCACCACACACGCCACCACACACGCCAACACACACGCCAACACACACACGCGGGTCACGCTCATCTGTAAACGCAGGCTTAATTACCAACAAGGTGATAACAGAGAACTATCCAGGTAATAGTGTTGTCATCAATGAATTCATCTTCTCGTACATTTTGATCATGTCAAGTCTAACAATAGTTTATCCTCTCTTGAAATGGTCAATTAAGCTTTTCCGATTTCTCTTCACACGGAAGGTTTCAAATTTGAGCACTTAACTTTGTCATCCTACGCTGGGCGCGTACTAGTAAATTTATGTCTATTCTATAGCGTGCCGACCCAACCTGAACTGCATAATCTAAATGGGACCTAACAAGAACAAGATATAGCTGACGAACAACACCAGGTGTAGAACAAAATTATTAATGATGGTAACAGAGTTCATTTCATGTGGTCTCCATTTTATATTGGCCTCCGAATGCATGATAGAGCTGATAAGTTAGCCAAAGAATCTGCCTTTAAAGGAAAAGTTAAGTATAACCTTAGATTGTCAATGAGCAATCTGAGAGCAGCAGTACACCAAGAACTTCAACAAAATCTTGTAGTTCTGAGGCAAAGTGAAATCGGCACCAGTAATTCCATCTATCATCATACTATCATGCAAGAGGAGCCACACATCTATGGTTCATCCAATAAAATCAGCAGACTTCTAGATGTTACTACTGCTCGGCTTAGACTCAGTTATAAGTATCTCTGGGAATTCTCATTATCTGCTGATGTAGACCTGACCAAATGTAAACTGTGTCAACAAAATTATTCGCACACCCTCCGTCACTATGTGATGGAGTGCGAAAGGATACGGGGAGCTGAGCATGGTGAGCATACAGCCAGTCTTACGGCTGCATGCCATTCAGAATACGTGAATTTAGAGACAATTCTATAGCAAATATTCTACAGATGTGCAAATATTTTATTAAAAATTATCTGCTGTCATAAGTTTTGACCAAATATCCTCAGTTTGCTAACTGTAGGTAGTAACTAAGTGATTTTAACCTATCCACCGCTGCCCACTGGATGGGGGGCGGTGTGCAGGACAAATATATCAACTGTGACACTAGCTCTCCACATATGTCAGTTGCTTAATTTAGAAACTGTACTTGTGGTCGATCTCGAGCCCATTGACGATGTCTATTGAATTTTATAACTAGCTCAAGATTGTAACTTGCTTAGCTAAATGACTTGTGGGGTTCAGTCCCTGAGCCCATTATGTGCCTCTGTAACCCTTTCCACTACCGCCCACAAGATGGGTATGGGGTGCATAATAAATGAACTAGACTAAACTAGGTGTATTAGTACTAACGCTTCAAGAAATTAATCCCAGTATCCTTTTTACCTTATTTCGAACATTTACGCGTTGATCTTTTGACATTTGTTTGCATAATGCATTTGCTAATCTTTCGACCATTTTTAAAAGCCTTACTAGATCGTCTTGAAGTGATTTTGAGTTTTCTTTTGAGTTTATCCCCCGAAAATTTTCGTATCGTTTGCAAATTTGCAAATATTGCTGCTTAATACTGAATGTTAATCCTTTACAAATGCAGACGATGGGTCACAATAACGGGGCTGAAGATACGATGACTAAACCACGCATCGGGAAGTGAAGAGACGACGACGTTTCGGTCCGTCCTGGACCATTGTCAGTCGTCCAGTACGGACCGAAACGTCGTCGTTTCTTCATTTCCTTCGTATGGTAAACAAGGTATCAGTACAAACGTGTAGTCTACACTTGAAACAATCAAGGGATCCCAGTATGGTGCCTGGTAAAGGGAGGTAATAACGAAGGGGAATACAAATGCTATAATAAATATATCAGCATAGATTGAAGCCCCAAACAATGAATAACGCGCGGATAACTTCAGGGTGAGGAAACACCTTGTTAAACTCTACTTCAAAAAGAGTGTTGTAAATGTATAAAACAAATTACAAGGCAACATAAGTTCTGGATTGTTTCAAGCTAAGGTTAGACATAAGTGAATGAGTTTGATTGTTGGGCGGCTGGCATGGGCCAATAAGCCTTCTGTAGCTTCCGATATTCTTATATTCCATATTCTTCAATATAGATAGATAGATAGATTAGATAGATTTTTTATTCAGGTAAAGGTACATGGAAGATGTATATGGAATCTATATGGAATCTATATTCCTGTATATGGAATATGAAAGCTGTATATGTATATAATGGTATATGGAAGAACATTGTTTACATTGCTAAACAAAGCACGATAAGAGACAAAGTCTCAGCTTATACGTGGAAAGCAACAAAACACTGAGATCAATCAAACAAAACAAAAGACAAACACGTCAAACAACTTGTGAAAAAGATGCCATGGACTAAATTCTGAGGAGTTTACCGGCGGCTTGAGCAGAGAGAGTGAGCCGAGGAGGAACTGGTGAGCCCCACAACAAGGCGGGAGTCAAGTGATACCGTAGCAGACGGCCAGGGGGTGAGGGAGGATAGAGGAAGCGTTCATCTGGTAAGCTGGCCGTGTGGTGGACTCCAGCACGTGTTTGGTGGCAAACACCCAGGTCTCTATATGGCAAACCGACCTTGATGCAAGCCACGGTATCTCGAGAGCGTGTGGTGTATACCTGCTATGTGGAGCAGCCTCGGGCACGCATGACTAGGAATAGGAACGAGGAGTAAAGGTCGCTCGCTGGTGGTTAACAGACTCCTCTTGAGCGTCTGGAGGTGAAAGTAAGAGCCAGGTGGAGGCAGCAAACGCTGCCGGCGCACTGCAGGAAGGTCACGGGGTGAGGCCCGGGTCGTGCACAACTACACTCACTCACTCATTGCCTCACTAACTCACTTACGCACTCACGCTTACAGCCTCATACTCTTCCCTCCCACACGCGCACCCGGCAACATACCCACGGCCTCACTCCCACATGCCCGGTCCTCGCCCACACTCGCTTCAACCTGCTATTGTGATCCATCAACACGGCGCCCACAACCATCCCCTCCTCTCCACACGGGTCCTGGTGGCACAGTCGGGTTTATTTTCGACACACAATCGGGAATTACGGGTTCGACTCCCGGGCCAGACAGAAATGGCTGGGCGCGTTTCCTATCACCTAATGCTCCTATTTATCTAGCAGTAAATAGGTGCTCAGAAAGTTGTCTGCTTGTTGTGGGGTTGGGGGAGACCTCTATATAAGCCTAACATGTATATAATCAGAAAGAACATTGACAAACTAAAAGACTCAAAAGCCCCAGGAGTGGATGGATTTAAATTCCAAGTCGTAAAGAAACTGGCAAATGCATACCATTAAAACTCCTTTTCAGAAAAACCCTGGACCAAGGGATAGTTCCCCTGGATTGGAAATATGCAAATGTTGACCCTATTTTTAAAAAAAGGCAGAACGAGCTCGGCAGAAAACTACCGGCCGATCAGCTGGACCTCACACATCTGGAAGCTCATGGAGAGAATCCTAAGGGAAGGAATCATACAACATCTCACAGAGAACAATCTTATAAAATCAACGAAACATGGGTTTGTTAAAAATAGATCCTGCCTTACTAACCTGTTCACATTTCTGCAAACAGTAACCGGCTATTCAGACAAAGGACATCCGGTAGATGTAGCTTACATGGACTTTGCTAAAGGTTTTGACAAGGAACCACATGAGAGACTGGCAAGGAAATTACAGGCACATGGAATAAATAGCAGAATATTGGAATGAATAAAACAATGGTTGAAACAGAAAACAAAGGGTCGTGCTAAATGGGAATATATCTGACTGGGGAAATGTGGTGAGCGGGGTACCACAGGGGTCCATTTTGGGTCCAACCCTTTTTGTCATATACATCAAAGACATAGATGAGAATATTACAAACCACATCATCAGATGTGCAGATGACACAAAGATCTATGGTATAGTGGGAAGTGAAAGCGATACTGAGACCTTACGAGGAGATCTGCATGAACTCTACAAATGGTCAGATGACTTGCAAATGCTTTTTAATGTCGATAACTGCAAGACCTTGCATGTGGAGCACAACAATCCACGGCACAACTACCATATTGACAGCACTACCTTACAACAGATTGATGAAGAAAAGGATCTTGGTATCAGTATCCATCATTCATGAAAAGTTGCACAACAAGTGGGAGCGGCAGTAAAAAAAGCGAAACAAACCCTGGGAATAATCAAGCGTACATTTACCTTCAGGAAAAAGAAAGTAGTCGTTCAATTGTATAAGTCTCTGGGGCGTCCCCACCTGGATTATTGCATCCAGACATGGAGACCTCATCTTCAGAAAGGCTTAGCTGCTCTGGAGAAGGTGCAACACCTGGCAACAAAAATCATCCCAGAGCTAAGTCATCTCTCGTATCAGGAACGGTTGAGGGGCACTGGGCTAGCAACACTGCAAACCAGGCATGACAGGGTGGATCTCATCGAAACTTTTAAAATACTGAACAATTTGTAGGATGCTGATCCGGACAAGTTCTTCAAAAGGTCAGATGTAACACGAACGAGGAGCAACGGGTTCAAGCTCAACAAGCCACAATGGAGGACAGAAAACAGAAGATGCTTTTTCACCCATAGGAATATAAACCCTTGGAACAGCCTACCCGCCAAAGCCGTAAAGGCCAAAACTCTGTTGGGTTTTAAAATACAGCTGGGAAAGATCATCAGGGCAAATGGGGAATAGGCTCAGGAATCTGTATACCGGTTGATTGACAGTTGAAAGGCGGGACCAAAGAGCCGAAGCTCAACCCCAGCAAGCACAACTAGTTAAGTACATACGTATACACACACACACACACACACACACACACACACACACACACACACACACACACACACACACACACACACACACACCGCACACACAGTATAGAATTTACTAAACTAAATTCCCTGTGTACAGGGTGCTCCAAAATGACCAATTTCAATGAAATAGGACGAAATTTGTACAAACTTAACTTTACTGATGTTTATCATGTGTTATAAATGTAAAAATGTCTAAATTATTCCAACACTTTTCAGAAGCCTAGCCCTAATAATGCATACAGAGGTCC